CCTGGCATCGCTACTAGTAACAATGTTCGCTACTAGGGGCTCCTGGCCGTACTACTAGGAGCAAGGACGCTACTAGCAAGAAGAATCTCAAGGCCTCAGTACAACACGAGCCACATCGAGACACATTGAGCCACTCGGGCGCTTCTTCTTTTGGGGGCTCTTTTTCTGCATCTTGGAGTATGATGCAATTAGCCCAGAACAAAACGGTGGTCTACTATAGGAAGGTCTCTAGCTTGTGTGGGTTGAACAATTATATTCAACAGTCGAACTTATACTTTGATACAAAGGCTGGCTTGATGGCCCCTTGCTTGCTCTTCCAAAGACAAAGGGTGGGTGGTCTGTCACGAAGCACGTTGAATTTATTCTGAGGATACGCAATCCACAACCGGAAACCGGTCTCATGATTTCCAGGTGGGACAAAATGTTGCTCACATTTTTGCGAAATGGTTCATGCATTTTCCATTCGAACATTTAGTTAGTAATTAGTCTCACAAGTCTTAGTTCCATCTCCTCTCTCTACAAAGGAGAACAAGCTCTTGAGGAGGACCCGGGTTGTCAAACCTGGAACATGTACACTTGCAAACCATGCCAAGTTACAGCTTGGAGAACATTGCCTTGACCTGAAGAAATTCAACCATCGGCTCACCTGGGCTGAATGCAATTTGTGCATGTCGTTCCCAGGTCCAAACGTGGTGCTTTCGCTGATCTGGTCTTTTTTGCGGAGGAGACGGAGTAGTTTGAAGGTGAGGTACTGCAGAGGTCGGTAAGAGGAATACTCCAAGGTGCAAAGCCTTCCAGGATTTGAGATCCTGTGAATGGATATCTCTGCTGCAAGAACAGGCCCACAATCCCCTCTAGGGTATAAAAGACAAACAGGAAGCTACATGCGTCTGGACGCTGTGGAATCCGGATGGTCAAGACACATTTTTGAGGGAACATCACAACTTGATTCTTTACGCAAGCTACAGATGCAAATTCCAAACATTGCAATAATATGCAAAAACCTCGGACTGTGGGTAACGCTGTGTTGGCCTCGTGTCCTGTACGCTTCTAGTCGCCCTTCATCAGCTTTGGGGGGACTGAAGATGCCCCACTCGAAAAGTCACAGGCCCCGAAGCGTTCACGAAAAGTCACAGGGCCATCCGAGTGCAACTTCGCAGAGGATGCTGCCACCTCATGCAGTCTTTAGGGCCTTTAGGCTCACGCAAGGAAACTTGTCGACCGAACAACTTTCTGCAAGGAAACTGGTCGAAACATTCAACACTCAACAACTGCATGACCCATGCCATGGATCAATGGGCTCAAACAGGACTTGTATGGCAGGATCAAGAAACATCCGGAAGCTTTTAGAATATTTTAAAATCTAGTTAAAGCACATTAAAGCTGACTCTGGCAGAAAAGGACATCTGCATGGGAGCACGCACACGTGCACAAACATGTTGCAAATGTGTACAGTGTTCTGCGCGTTCCAACTCCGAATCTGTCCGTCCAACACGGAACGTCCATGCTTTTTGCGTCGTGAAGGGCAGTATCTGTTGTCCTTCCCAGCTACTCTTCTTGCTACTAGTAGCGATGGCCTCCAACCTAATAGCGATGGCCTCCAGCTACTAGCTTCTTGCTCCTAGTAGCTACTTGCTCCTAGCATTACGGCCAGGAGCCCCTAGTAGCGTTCTTGCTCCTAGTAGCGATGCCCTTTGTTCCTAGTAACCTAGTAGCGAACATGGCTTCTGAGTTACACCCACACATCTGAACAACGGACGGTGCTCAGTCAGGCCCTCCCTCTATGCAAAAGCACGCTTAGGTGTTCGATAACGTCCAGCAGTTGCTAACATGTGAACAACAAGGATATGTCATTTGATAGAACATGTTCCATTCCTTGGTTGGGAGGGCCAAAAAAAACAACAACACACACAGAAACACAGTTCTGCAGGTAAGGGGCGGCAAGTGCGGCACAGCACCTCGAACAGGAAATGTTTCAGCTGCCAAGAATCTGATGAGCTCAAGCAGTCTTGTGACTGTAACCAGTGACATACTTGTTCCGACAACATCATGACATCTGAAAAGTTAGTTGCCTTAGGTCTGCAGCTGGTTTGTCCTTCAATGGCAAATTCCACTTACCAATTTCTGTGAGTGAAAACAATGAACAAACAATTTGTTGACTTTGGGGCTGAAGTATGTCCTGGTGATGGTTAAAGAATGTGAAAATCATCTTGCATGGCCAGAATATTGTTGCAAACAAATGCCAGAAGATTTTCCGGTCTCTCCAAAGCCAAGGAACACATACCGTAGCAGCCATCCTGAATAAGTCAAAGAAGCCGTCACGAGGTGATTCCCTTTGGATTGAAAAAGGGATCTCAAATGTACTTTGCATAGCGTAAATGTATGGCCGGGCCATGTCTGTGTATATACTGTCGCCAGGGATTGTTGAGATCGACACAAAACCCTTTGACGTGTCTTGCTGCAACCAGCCCTGCCTTGCGGCTTCATTGCCAAGTGTGGGGACCGCGCCAAAGCGTGGCTGTGGAGCAAAAACAGCCCCAGGGGTGGCTTGAAACAAGTTAAGTTTTGGCCCGAGGCCAATGGTTGCAAGAGGGATGTCTCATTCATCACGGTGTTTCCACTTTGTGACAGAAACCTGGCAATGAGAGCTGTCAATCATCGTCGACAAGATGCACTTAAACCTTGACAATGCACCTACATGTTTCAAGGACGCTGACAGAACTTTGACAGCTGACTTCTTGAACGGTTCAGTTAGACCAGGACCCCCAGTAGTTTCAGATGACGCTCACAATTTCGTGGAATGAACCAGTTTCATCCATGCCACAAGATCACCACCGGGAAGCAGCACTGCATGTACCCATCACTTGTTTAATCGGTTTCAACTATGTGAATGCAGAAGGAGAATGTGGACTAAAGCACCATTTAGAGCACGAGTAGCTCTCAAGTTAAGAGCTGAGCACAGCAAAAAGAATGAGGACAAATACCCCACGTGAATTTGCCAAACACAATACAAACAAGCCATTGCAAATCGAGGACACAATACAGCGACCAGAAGAAAACAACGACAAGCACATGAAAAAAAAGCGCAATCTAGAACCTGCAACACAATAAAAACAAGTTTAGAGTCTAGGCACCAAGAAGGCTAACCTCTTGCCTCGCCTTTTTGAGACTGGGCTGTCCAGGCTTTTGACTCATGTCTGCCTACCTACGGTAGGTTCGTGTCCGTTTCCCTCGGGTTGTGACTAGTTGTCTCAAGCGTCTGTCCCACATCTTTACTTCAACTTACTAGAAGCGATGCACTTGTTCCTAGTAGCTTCTTGTTACTACTAGTAAGGCACTTGTTACTAGAAGCGATGCACTTGTTTGCTGGATCTATTTAGGATTGATTGAGTGATGCCCAGTTTACGACTTATCCAGTGAATCCAGTGTCAAAGCACACCAGCACAGTTTGACTCTCTTATCCAGTGCCACGTTGCTCCTGTGCAATTCGGAAACCGGGAAACAATGTGTTGACAAGACTTCTTGTGAAATAAATCTCGCTGGTCGCTTCATGTCACTTGTATCAGACTTGGGCAACACACAAGAAATAACCTGCCAACCCTTTACACCTTAAGCCAATGGTATCGCCGATGGTCTAGTTAGTGCATTCTTGTTCTTCGGACTTGAGTTAACTCCCCAAACGACAAAGAAACACAAACGACATCTCCTTACAATTCCTTACATGTGCTTGCTATCCACGAACAGCTAATCAACATTAATCAACCTTGATTGTCAAACCCGGATTCGGATTGTCACTTTTTGTCGCCAAACGCGAAGAAGGGCTGTCAGAGAGAGGGAAAGCGCCAGTCGACCGAGCCGAACATAGCGCGAGTCCTGGACGCGAAAAACAAAATCCTGAAGAAGTCAAGCAGCAATGACTAGTAAGGCCAGGAGCGCCCCTAGTAGCGTCCTTGCTCCTAGTAGCGATGCCTTTAAAGAGTATCCTGCAAGTAGTAGCATGCTTGGTTGTAGCAAGTGAAGTCCAATAACTTGAAGCCTTCTAGTAGCCTTCAGCTTCAAGTGCGAATGCTGCCAATCTCCTTGATGCTCCTGGGAAGGAGAGGGCCGACGGCTCCTGCATCAGCCGGCAAACACCATACCCTAAGAGCTGAGCAGCTGCGCCCAGAAGGGAAGTTGGTTGACTGGCGGGTACTGAAGGGACAACATATTGCAGGAGTTGCTTCGCTGGAGAGGGTGAGGGGTGAAAACAATTGCATCTAGGCCTGAGAAAAGGGATTGCGTTCAATACTTTCGGAGGGGAGGTCGCATCAGTGGTCCTCTAGAATCTCGCGTAAGTGTCTTGTGCTGTGCCGCGAAACAGAAGTTGAACCTGTGACAACTGTGCACGAGACCAATGAGACCCAAAAAACAACGATTAAAAGATGAGGGAAATAAGCCACCGGAGGACCAAAAGGCACAAAAGAGTAAGGAGAAGGGACCTGTGGACCATCAAACTTAATGACACCAGCCTATCTTCCATGCAAGTCATTATTGTTTTATGCGAATGCATGGACGCTGACCTTGCGTGAAGCCAAGATCCCAAAACTGCAGAAGCATGCAGAAGCTGAGCCATGCTGAGCCAATTCAAGCGGACTCCTGTCACAGCGGACTTCGACGACCCACCGAGCTCCTGGGCGTTCCACCGTGATGTCTTGAAGTGACTGCACCTCTGGGCGGGTGAACTGCACTCGTTGAGACGGAATTGATTCAATTGGCTTTGGGTCAATATATAGCAATGGCCTCCAACCTAATAGCCTAATAGTAATGGCCTCCAACCCAATAGTAATGGCCTCCAACCCAATAGCAATGGCCTCCAAACTCATAGCAATGGCCTCCAAACTCATAGCAATGGCCTCCAACCTAATAGC